CCTTGGAGTTACCTGTTATCAATCAACTCAATAGGTTGGCTTGGGAATCAATAAGTGGAGGATGCGGATGATGATGTGAGAAGAAGAAAGTGAGTCCCGCAAAAGGAAGGAATATGTTGTCCTATGTGGGCTAATTAAGTGGTGTGCAATTAAACAACTTGTTGCATAATCAAAGGAGGTTGCACCCTGTACATATTGGGATTCAGTAAATGGACGTATGAAATGGGTAACAATGTCTCTCGTTGCAACGCACGGGCATTTGTGCTAGTATACATAAAGAATATAGAGGATTACAATATAGAGGGAGGGACTCGACGAGTCAGGAAGACTCAACAAGTTGTGATGATGGTGGTGATTTTGACGTGAAGCGCCTGAACTTTCTGTGTGTCGTAGCCTCGTAGGCTAAAACTAGGGCAAGGGAGAGCTCCCCTTCTTTGATACCCCTAATACTCCTTATATAGCACTAGTTATGGAAGGCTCCATGTCGATGCGATCGGTCGTGCAAGGATTCGAGTCACACACAGTGTCGGTGTATAACATGATTTGGTCCTTTTCCTACGTTCCGCGGACTATTCTCCTTCTCCCTTGCTATCATTCGATGAAACGTCTTCTCATGAGGCAGTGGCACTTCCCCGTGGGTCGAGATGCTATCCTTGGGCCTTTTGGAGGCCATTGTGGCGGTGATGGATTAGAGAAGATATTGACGGAGAAGCGGAGTTGAAGTTTGATGCAATTAGAGCATCACCAGCCGGACATAGCTAATTTGGACCCCTATAGGTCCGTCGACAGCACCGGCCTGCCCATTTGTTCATGTACACAACCCTCCCTCTCATATCCAAACCCCCAAATCCATACACAAGCATGCAACATAGAACACACGTACTTCCATTTCTAGCACATAGTCCAGACATTGCATAGGGGAGTTCATACATACCATGAGACTACCAAAATGATGGCATGTTATACTAGTTCTTCATAAATAAATTGAGACTATATAGATAGGGGAAGTTCATCACGACGGCCACCCTTGCCCTTGCCCTTGTCCTATTTTCACAAAACTAGCGGTTGAGGACGCAATAGGGGTTCATGCGGATCTGCTCGGCGAGCTGGATGTGTCAGATGCGACATCAGCCATCTTCACATCCTCTCTCGGGGGAAGGTCAACGAGCGCACGAGCGGGTCAGGCTTGCCGCTTCGCCAAGATCCGGGCACGGGCATCCTCCTCGGCCTTCGTCTCGACGGCCCGCGGCGACTCCGCGACGTGGCGCGCCTTCGCTCTCTCACGGTGGGCACACCATGCATCGACCTCAGACGCACCACCATAGCTGATGCATCCGGTGCATCCTGGCCATGGGCATTGCTGCCATTGACCTCGAAGGGACAAGGACCCAGCTCTGGGGAGCCTCAGAGCATCTCTCGGTGGTGTGCTGGGACCTCGACTCGACATGCGCCTGAGGGTGATAGAGCAAACAAGGGACGCGAGCTTACATTGGATGCGGCGCCACCACTGGATCCCAGCCAGAGTGGCGAAGAAGGTGCTCGACCGGTGGATCCGCGATAGGGCGACTCCAACGACGGAGCTCGGCTATCCACCCGAGACAGGCGGACCGCAAGCTAGATGACTATGTCCTCCTCATCCAAGCAGGCGCAAGCTCCCAGTCGATGGATCCAGACCGACCGGACTCAGGTCCACTGCTTGCCATGCTGGATATGGCCAGAGAGGAGCGAAGAGGTGAGGAACGGAGCAAGGCTGAAAGCAGAGTGAACCGAGACAAATGGCTAGGGTTTGGTGGGGTCAGGGTGGGCCGTTTCGATGTGGCAGACGTGCCCTGGTGTGTCCGGCGGCCCCAAATCCTTGATAAGGGGGTGCTGGACAACCCGGACAGGTATGGAGGGTCCGGTTGGGTGGCATTTTTCTGTTTGGGCCAAGTCCTGGCTTTTTGCCCGGACATATGGGGGGGAGGGGGTCCGGTTGGAGATGCTCTTAGAGCCTCTCTAGCTGATCCCCTATCCCATAATGCCAAAACATATCTCCTATCTCAAAAAGTTATATGTTTTGAGGGTATCAAACTTGTCTTCATCTAGCGGAACCGCTAAAACTTAATCCCTTAAAACAATTTACCAATTCATCCAACCATCTTCAAACTTATCATAACATTTGAAAACTTGATTATTCAAGTACACACAATTCAAGTACATATAAAATTAATTGTTCTCAAACTTAAGCATTCAAATTCAAACACAATACACCATCCAAATGAACTAAGAACCCAAATAAACATGATGAAAGCACAAAAATCAAGTGCTATAAAGTCGCCAATGGTGCTCCATAAGATCTTGAAGTTGGTTGTGAGCTTCTCGGTTCTTGATCCTTCAGTGTGCTTGCAGGAATGCTTTGATTCTATTTCTACTATGTTCTAGCCCACTTGGACACCATTGTAGAGATATTGAAAATCCTCTGGGTCCTCTTTCTCATCCTTGATGATAGTGTTGTGCAAGATAACACATGTTGTTATGATTTGCCATAGGATCCAAGGCTTTCAACATTCACTAGGGCCATGGACAACTGCAAAGCGTGTTTGAAGCACACCAAAAGCTCTCACCATCCTTTCTCGTAGATTCTTGGCACGTTGCAAAATGAGATTTGTGTGTCCTTCAGGATGGTGGACTGTCTTCACAAATGTGGCCCCTGGAGAATAGATGACATCGGCAAGGTAGTATCTCCATTGGCAACATAGTTGCAAGGTGAATTGTCACTAGCGACAAGCCTTGAAACAAGAGGAGATTGTTGGAGGACATTGAGATCATTGTGAGAGTCGGGCATCCCAAAGTATGCGTGCCAAATTCACTGACTGGTCATGGGATGCAACTGCCTTAAGAATGATGGTTGGATCATGGCAATGCCCTTTGTACTGATCTTGCCATGCGACAGGACAATTCTTCCATGTCCAATTCATACAGTCAATGGATCCAAGCATCCCTTGACAACCTCTCTCTTCATTTTCTGCCATGAGCCTCTCGGTATCTTCATTAGTGGAAGCCCTCAAGTACTCCGGTCCACAAATCTCGATCACAACTGCGTAGAATCGTCTCACACACTCGAGGATGAGAACTTCCCCAATGCGAACCTAGTCATTAATGGCACCGGTCAGACATCCATACATGCCCGCTATAACCTTCACCAATGAACTTGCACTTGATGTTCCCGCTGCACTCCTTCTCAGTTGAAAGCAACGATCCTGTTTTTCCATAGCTTTTACAATGGTGTTGAAGAGATCCAGGTGTATACGGAATCGATGCCAAAAAAATTAAGGCGGGTATATTGTATTACATAAAGAAATCCCTCATAAGACCATCATGACCCATGATGCTATCTCGAAGAAACAACCTTTGACCAAACTGGAACCACGCCTCGGTCTCCTAAAATCTTCCTCCATAGCAACCACGGAAGTCGCCAACTCAAATTCATCCTCTTCTTCTTCTTCCCGCGACGATGAATCTTCGAAGATTATCTCCCACAACATCTTGATCTACACATTGGAGAACTTAATGATCCATTTGAGACCTTTCTTCGATGAAAAACAGGAAAAAATGTTTTAAACAAAACATAAAGGCAATTTGACAAACACCTTGTTGGTGGACGGGGTCGGAGAGGCGGCGCCCGACGACGTAGCTCGAGCTAGGTCCGAATGGCGGTGGAGGACACTAGCGACACTGCCTAGTAAGCCACAGAGGGGATTCCTGCGCATGGAGGCGACGAACTTCGTCCAGGATGTAGGGGCAGCGACAGTGGCGGCGACGACACTCTACTTAGCGGTTCTGATGCCGTCGGCCGTGTAGGGCTTGCGCTTGACCTTTCTACGCCATCTCCAAGGTCAGACGGTTCAATTCCCGTCGAAAACAAACCTCGTGGCGACCGGGCAGAGTTACACAACGCCTGCGTCGTCGGAGGCGAAAATACCGATTCCGGCACCGATGAGTTTGGAGAAGGTGCGGGAGAGGGCAGCGGGGCTGCGAGATGGTGGCACGGAACAGCTCCGTCGTCCGAGGGTCGACGACAGTGAGAGGCAAGTCGGCGCTGGGGGAAGGTCGGCTGGCCACCTAAATATCCTAAGAAACTGCATATCCAGAGTAAAAATAGGATGGATGGTTGCATTTTAAGGGATGGAAAGTTATATTTTGAGGGATCTGTTAGATAGGGCTTAATCCCTGAAATCAGAATTTTTCCACCAAATATAATTTTTGGGGATCTGCTAGAGATGCTCTTAAGTTGGTTGCTACAAATCTTAAGTTGGTTGACTATTATGTACTATTAAAGGGGGAGTTGGTAGGTTCGCCTCACCTCCTCCCTCGTTTTTTTCCTCCACATTCCCCCTGCTTTTTGGTTTCCTGTTGATTGTTTTGGTAATCTTAACCGATATCACACAAAATAAAAACGTAAATGGAGTAAATTAGAATAATCTAAACCAAATCGATACTTTTCCAAAACCACATCCTACATTAACTCGATCAATCAAATCAAATCTTACCAAAATCGATACCTCAACTAAACCACAACTTTTCTTGTCTTCCCCTACCCATACCCAAATCAAATCTTACCAAAATCTTAACTAAATCAAAACTTTCCTTGCCTTCACTTACCCATATGTAAAAAAAGGGCAACCTGGTGCATGTAGCTCCCGCTTGCGCAGGGTCCAGAGAAGGATCCGACCACTTTGGGTCTATAGTACGCAGCCTTTCCCTACATTTCTGTAAGAGGCAGCCTTTCTAGGACTTACCCATACGTAAATCAAATTAAATCTTACAAAAATCTAGAATATGGTGAGTGTAAGGTATATGTCGGACAAGATTGATGTCGAACCACTAGAATATTTATGTCCCCGTTGCAGCACATGTGCAATTAGCTAGTATTATAAATATATCAGTTAGGATGGTCTTAAAAATTAGAAGTGTGGATTAAAACAGTCAAGACTTTTACATTTAATAGTAGATATAGTTACCTGATGATCTCGCCTTGAGTGATCAAAATAAACCTTCATGCGGTGCCTCAATCTCTGAAGCCTCTGTTCCTGTAAATGGCCGGCCAAAAACAGTTAGCTAGTTTGTGTCTTATACAGCTAAATAGTTCTCTGAATTGGGCCATTCAAGTTAACACATTCGAAGACAAAATATTATGAAGAGAACTATGACTTGGCCGCTTAAATTGTCATGTCTATCCTGCAGAGTTTGATTGTGCATTGAAGGTCACAGACTACTACCCAAAACCCGTTGCACATGGGGAGAGGCTAAAGACACAAAAACAAAAAGGTTAGCTATCAAGGCTAAAGACACGCTGATGAACATGTTGTGGTATTTGCTATCTTAAATACTGGTAAATTCAATGATCAGTGGATTTCTTTACCCCGAAAGGAAAAAAACTGTTAACAAATCTTTGCAACGTTCTGATATAACAAACCTGCACTGGCGTAAGGTTCACGCATATTTGCTCATATGCCCCTTTCCTTTTGATGCATACACAAGAGAGACTTTTCCCTATCCATCTTGGTGATCCACATGACGCCTCATCTGCACAAGAACAGGCACATTCCATTAATAAACACTGAACATCAAACTATCGAAATAAAGAATTTTTATAATACTCCCTCCGTCCCAAAATAAGTGTCATGGTTTTGAACTAAAACCACGACACTTATTTTGGGACGGAGGGAGTACATAGAAATAATTTTCATAATAACCAATGCAAAATGACTAATAAATACATACTTTGTGATTGTCATGTGCATGCTGGAGCAACACAAAAACAAAGTTAGCTATCAAGGCGAAAGACACGCTGACGAACCTTTGTGGTTTATGCTATCTTAGTAAAGTAATATAAGACCTTTTAGAGCACTAAAGTAGTGATCTAAAAGGTCTTGTATTACTTTACAGAGGGAGTATTTTTTGCCGGGAATCTTAAATACTGTACTAGCTTGTGTTTCTTATAAGCTAATGGATCCATTATGATAAGATCAGACAAGGAAAATATTTTTGTAGCCTACCTAACTTATACTACTCCGCACATTGTGCTACATGTTCATAATCTCAGATACAACCCAACACCAAGACCCCCTATAATTTCTCACCAAACGCTCTCTGATTGATCGACAAACTGTGGAATAGGGCAATCAAGGTTGAGATTTCCTACCAAATCAGCTGCGCACCACGATTACTTTATGTGTGAACCCGACTGAAACTAAGCTTCCCAAAAGCGCAAGCAACTGTTAGCATGCCATACTGTTCAAGCAATGGACAAACATTTGTTGTGGATGTGCAATCACAATTGATTGATGTGGGCAAGTCATATGTAATCTTAGAACCAAAGGGCCGCAACAAGGGGCCATAATTTGGTAGTACTCCCTCTGTTCCTAAATATACGTCTTTTTAGAGATTCTATTATGGATTACATACGGAGCAAAATGAGTGAATCTACACTCTAAGATATGTCTATATACATCCGTACGTAGCCCGCATTGAAATCTCTAAAAAGACTTACATTTAGAAACAGCGTGAGTAGTACCGAATTAGCATGAAAAGAGTGGAGAGGAGCATACAAAGTAAATCTGACGGCTTTAAAGTTCCTACAAAAACTAATACTAGGTGTTGTCACGAGACTATAACAGGTAATAACTTTTATAGAAGTAGGTAATTCATTAATCTAGCATTGCAAGATTTGATGGAAGAGATCAAATATTTCACCTAAAAACATTTGGTCAACAAACTGCTAACGCCAAGACGGAGATCACCAGAACAATGGACGGAAAAAAAAAACACTGCAATGATTTCTTCATTGGTGTCCACGATGCAATGACAGAGACATAAGATTGGAAGCTCAGTACACCGTGAGTGGGGAGGATAAGGCTGGTCATAGTGGGGAGTAACTTATACTAGTGTCATGCATATGACACTAGTCTAAGTTACTACATTCATAGTGCAAAGTAACATAGTAGTAGTGTCATAGAGGACTTCATTAATTAGCTTGTAGACTATCTTGTCTTGGAAAGCGCTATATTACAGTAACATATTATGTTACCACTTCTCATTAACTACATGCCACATAAGCAAAAATTTCTCGGAGTGCGCTATGTTACTTGCTAAGTTACTCCCACTATGACTAGCCTAAGAAGTTGAGAACCATGATTGAGCGACGACATTGTTCCCAAATGCGCAAGCGAGTAGCAGTACTTTCAGTGCGATTTCTCTAGGGACCTGCAATGCTGACTTTTGTTGCGCGTACTGAACATAAAAGATTGAGGCGACATCGATTGGCATGCACTTCACAGTGACATGACAAAAACTTAAACACACATCAATGCTTATTAAGATGTTGAAAATTGTAAACGGGGCAGGGTACCGTAGAAACTGTGATGCAGGACTACACCACCGGCAGAGTGGGAGAAAGGTAAGAACATACACAGCTATCAACAGAGGAAAGAAACTAGCATCAGCGATTCAGTAGCAGCAACCACAGCGCAATATTCGGGAAAAGGGGGAATATTCAGGAACAGCAAGAAATGGCAGAATAGGTTCCTGTAATGCAAAAAAAAGAACAGCTAAAACTACACGCAGACGCAGGCACCAACCAAACCAAACATTGCAAACAGGCAAAATTAAATAAATAAGCAAATGAGTGAAGGAAGGAAATGAATCTTACCGGGAGATCCAGCTGCCTGAGAGGAGCCACCGGAGCATCGCGCCACCGGCCCGGGCGGCATGAACGTCCTGACAGACAAGCATCCGCCGTGGCGGTGCTGCGTCTCAGCTGCCGCCGGCGTTGTGGCCGCCTCCATTCTCCTCTCCTGACCAGCAGATTATTGATCTTGCAAGGCTAGCTCGACTGCAACGTGTCGCCGACTTGCTGCTGCTGGTTCTTTCTTGCAGCAGAAGCGGCGGTGGCGGCGTTGTCGCTGAGAGGGGAGACGGGCGATGTATGCACAGAGGGAAGTTGGGAAAGAGAAATAATGAGAGAGCGGAGCGGGGCGACGGACGCAGGCGGACGGCACAGGCAGCGGCGGGCGTCGTGTAGCTGGCCCTTCCGCGGAGGAGCACGTCGCCTTGTGCCTTGTCCCCATCTAAACGGACGCAGACTGCGGCGCCACGATTTAAATAGAATGCTGAACTTATCCTATGGCCACTTTGCCACACAGGCGATGCAAATACACAGTACAGACACAAATCTTTATATATACACACATACACTCACTCTTTATATTTAATCAGACACATTATTTTGAGATTGACAAAATCGTCACAGACATCTTCATAGTCGACGGGAACATCTCCTTTCACTCAACGCACATTAGTGGAAGGCCTGAAATAAATTCAGAAAAATACGACATCACAAGGAACCTAACCATCTGAGTGACCCTCAGTTCACTTGTAAAATACACCTTCAGTGTCAATACTTGAGTTGAGGTGTAAATAGGTGTTTTTCCTATGTATGTGCATGTCAAGCAAATTTGGGCCTACGAGGGGCGGAGCCAGAATTTCGGCATATAGGGACGAACTGACCAAAACAATTGGGCATAACACATATATTGCAGTCTCAAGCCTTGCATCTCCAACAGTCTACACATTTGTCTTTATAATCATCTAGATCACGAGGGCTCATTTGTTTGACTAGGATTGGTGTTATTTTGCCCATTCGCTGCTTGATGGCCCTGTTAGAAATTTAGAACTATCCTCTGAAGCTTAACCAATTTTACTCTAGAATGGATGCATTGTTTTCTAATACATAACCACTGCCTGAGTATTTTCGACAGATCCCTCAATGGAGTATTACGGCTAAGCGAATAGATTGGAGGGGAAGCGGGAGAGGGTTTATCCAGGTTCAAGCCTTTATGGTGGAGATAAAACCCTACTTCGTGCTCGTGTTTATTGAATAAGGTCATTGCTTGTGCATTGCTACGGGAGCCAAATAATTTTTAGTGCGGCAATAGTACATGAAAAATACATGATTGTCTAAAATTATCATCTGACAATCAATCTGATTTTACAAACATATTATTTTGAGCCACAATACACTACATAAGCAACAATTTTGTGCCACATTGCCAAAAAAAAGTATGAACAAAGCATAGTAAACACCATAATAACCAAGTTCTTTAGAGCTGCGTGCAGTCCCGAAGTAGGGGTTCAGCTGTCATGGAGTTTTTTTTAGCGAGTAGCCCGCATGTGGTTTATATGTATCGATTTTCGCCGTGTTTTCCGTTAATTAACTGAGCAATTTTCTTCTTCTCAATTAATCCATGAGGCAAATCTTTTGCCTTCGTTTCGAAAAAATAATAACCAAGTTCAAACTAAAGGAAAAAAAGTTGACTATACAATTAATATGGAGGACAATGTCAAAAGCTAAAGCATTCTATCGAGGTATGCAAGTACAGTTTAAGGATATGTGTGTTGTCATTTTCCTGTGATCTTCTCACTCTTCTTGACATTCCATCGAGGCATGCAAGTACAGGAGAGCTGGCTAATTGATCTCACTGGACGGCCCCGTGCACGCGCATGTAGAAGCTAGGGACGCGTTTGGTAGGCTGCATACAGCCCAACCAATCCCGGACATGATGAAATTGGGTCGTTTGATTGCGTGTAAGCAGGCCTGGCTCGCATCGGCAGTGAACTTAAAGCATCACAGAGCCTAACTCACTGGGAACGCTTGAATCGGCCGTTTCAGATAGCCAAACTGAGTCTGATGCAAAAGAAAGACGCGGCGTAGGGCGCGGTGCAAGAGGGATTCGGTCAGAGATGGCGGGAGGGGGAAAACGGCAGAGCGGGGGTGGCGCGAAATGTACCTCACCACCCCTTTTACTCGCTCACACCAGGATCTAGGACAAGCCCTCCTATGTTATTGGCACCGGCAGCGGCGAAGACTCAGATCTGCGGCTGCGGCGGGGGCGGGGGCATTGGTGGCGGGAGCAGCACTCCCCGAGAGCGGCAGCTGCTTCTCCCCTTCTTCTTTGACTCCATCCGACCATCCTCGTCTCGGCCATGCCTCCCCCGACCCCGAAGCTGGTAAGCTACCCCCTCCGCCTCCTCTGTTAGGTCGTTCGGTAGGAGCGTTTAGGGTCGATTGCGCCATTGCTGAACACATCATGGATGTCGCTTAGGTTGTGGATGAACGGATGAAACTTCTAGTTCAGGCGGCAGTGCTGGTAGCTGTGATTCGGGCCTGGATCCTGTTGGTCCATAAGAGAGTTGTTTGTCGGAATGATAAACCTCTCGTCCGGTATGGTCCGATGTTAATTCGGGGTCGGGAGAAGATAGCGAATCTGAACTACATCTACAACTACAACAGCACAGAGGCTCTGTGGATGCTTCGAATGAAAATAGCACCTTTCACCAGGCTTGTGCAGACATTCAGGAGCAGGGGGTTGCTAGAAGATAGCATCCACACCACCGTGGAAGAGCAAGTAGCCATGTTCCTTCATGTTGTTGGTCATAACCAGAGGTTCAGGGTTGTACACAATACCTTCAAGAGATCAATGGAGACCATCTTCAGGTACTTCAAGCAAGTGATGTATGTTGTTGGGGAGCTTAGAGGAGAGATGATCGGGTAATCAACTGACCGGATGTTGGAAATATGCCCTAGAGGCAATAATAAAATGGTTATTATTATATTTCTTTGTTCATGATAATTGTCTGTTATTCATGCTATAACTGTGTATCCGAAAATCATAATACACGTGTGAATACATAGAACACAACAAGGCCCTAGTAAGCCTCTAGTTGACTAGCTTGTTGATCAACAGATAGTCATGGTTTCTTGACTATGGGCATCGGATGTCATTGATAACGGGATCACATCATTAGGAGAATGATGTGATGGACAAGACCCAATCCTAAGCATAGCTCAAAGATCGTGTAGTTCATTTAGCTAGAGCTTTTCCAAATGTCAAGTATCATTTCCTTAGACCATGAGATTGTGCAACTCCCGGATACCGTAGGAGTGCTTTGGGTGTGCCAAACATCACAACGTAACTGGGTGACTATAAAGGTGCACTACGGGTATCTCCGAAAGTGTCTGTTGGGTTGGCACGAATCGAGACTGGGATTTGTCACTCCGTATGACGGAGAGGTATCTCTGGGCCCACTTGGTAATGCATCATCATAATGAGCTCAATGTGACCAAGTGTCTAGTCACGGGATCATGCATTACGGTACGAGTAAAGTGACTTGCCGGTAACGAGATTAAACGAGGTATTGGGATACCGACGATCGAGTCTCGGGCAAGTACCGATTGACAAAGGGAATTGTATACGGGGTTGATTGAATCCTCGACATCGTGGTTCATCCGATGAGATCATCGAGGAGTATGTGGGAGCCAACATGGGTATCCAGATCCCATTATTGGTTATTGACCAGAGGGGCGTCTCGGTCATGTCTGCATGTCTCCCGAACCCGTAGGGTCTACACACTTAAGGTTCGGTGACACTAGGGTTGTAGAGATATTAATATGCAGTAATCCGAAAGTTGTTCGGAGTCCCGGATGAGATCCCGGACGTCACGAGGAGTTCCGGAATGGTCCGGAGGTGAAGAATTATATATAGGAAGTCAGGTTTCGGCCATCGGGAAAGTTTCGGGGGTCACCGGTATTGTACCGGGACCACCGGAAGGGTCCCGGGGGTCCACCGGGTGGGGCCACCTATCCCGGAGGGCCCCATGGGCTTAAGTGGGAGGGGAACCAGCCCCTGGTGGGCTGGTGCGCCCCCCTTGGCCCCCCCTGCGCCTAGGGTTGGAAACCCTAGGGTGGGGGGCGCCTCCACCTGGCTTAGGGGGCAAGTTTCCCCCTTGGCCGCCGCCCTCCCTTGGAGATCCCATCTCCTAGGGCCGCCCCCCCCCTAGGGGGCCTATATAAAGAGGGGGGAGGGAGGGAAGCCACACCCATGCTCTTGGCACCTCCCTCTCCCATTGCTACATCTCTCCCTCTCGTAGAAGCTCGACGAAGCCCTGCCGAGATCACTGCTGCATCCACCACCACGCCGTCGTGCTGCTGGATCTCCATCAACCTGTCCTTCCCCCTTGCTGGATCAAGAAGGAGGAGATGTCTTCCTCAACCGTACGTGTGTTGAATGCGGAGGTGCTGTCCGTTCAGCACTAGGATCATCGGTGATTTGGATCACGACGAGTACGACTCCCTCAACCCCGTTCTCTTGAACGCTTCCGCTCGCGATCTACAAGGGTATGTAGATGCACTCCTTTCTCTCATTGCTAGATGAACTCATAGATTGATCTTGGTGAAAGCGTAGAATTTTTTTTATTTTCTGCAACATTCCCCAACAATGGCATCATGAGCTAGGTCTATGCGTAGTTCTCTTTGCACGAGTAGAACACAATTTGTTGTGGACGTAGATGTTGTCAACTTTCTTGCCACTACTAGTCTTATTTTGCTTCAGCGGTATTGTGGGATGAAGCGGCATGGACCGACCTTACACGTACGCTTACGTGAGACAGGTTCCACCGACTGACATGCACTAGTTGCATAAGGTGGCTAGCGGGTGTCTGTCTCTCCCACTTTAGTTGGAGCGGATTCGATGAAAAGGGTCCTTATGAAGGGTAAATAGAAGTTGGCAAATCATGTTGTGGCTTTTACGTAGGTAAGAAAACGTTCTTGCTAGAACCCTATTGCAGCCACGTAAAAACATGCAACAACAATTAGAGGACGTCTAACTTGTTTTTGCAGCATATGATTTGTGATGTGATATGGCCAAAAGTTGTGATGAATGATGAATGATATATATGTGATGTATGAGATCATGTTCTTGTAATAGGAATCACAACTTGCATGTCGATG